TGCCTCTCCCTTGTTTTCGCACTTCCCTCAATTGATCCCCGCCGTTTGTGTTCTTTGCATTGAGCATTGGCTGTGCACCTTGTACCTGTGGGATTCTTGTGTTCGATGCACTGGTCGTTTGGAGTGCTCCTCCAGGCCGCTGCTTGACGAACAAAGATGATATTGTGTATCAAATGGCTCCATATTCCTACTGGTTTGAGTTAACTGTGAGATTGAATGGGTTGTCAACTGAAGTCGATGATGCTTAGTGTTTTGAAACCTCGTTTGTGTGTGAACATACTGTTTGTCTCCCAATCCACGCGAAAGAACTAGGACAAATTTGTCACAGACATGTATCCGAAAATCCGATACCGATGCTAAACTCTAAAAGATGGGCTACCACATCGTGTGTAGTAAAAGTGTAAGAGTCCTATCTACTTCTTCATGAATAGTCTGTTTGCTTCCGGGTTCACTCTTCACTGGGATCGATAAATTACCGACAATTAGGTCGGACCAACTTTTATTTCACATTTCTTCTGCTTGATATATCACGGAATTTCATCTGAATGGACAAACGCTTTCGATGTCCTGGAGCTGAGAAATCATCTTTTACTCTCGACGTCACTTCGTTTGATTACACCGAGCAGAATGCGCTCCAGTTGAATCATGGACCGATTAATCACGTTAGTGGCGTTCTGGAACGAATGCTGAACCAATTTACCGACAAAGGGGGTTATTTCGAACCAATTTTGGTCATTTGGGTTTCTGTCATTGTTATTGCTGTGACGTCATCGGTGTGTACACCAGGTGTACTAGAAGCCTACAGTGATTCCATCCGGTTGTGTACGCACACACTTTCGATATTCTCTACATGACGTAGATTCATTTGGTCGAGTTATGTTCTGATCTGATTTGTGCGAATTCTACCCAAGCAATGTTAATGACGAAAACAAGCTAATTGTCGTCCCTGGGACTCATTATCACACGCAATAAAATATCTGGTGCCTGCGAATTTGCCTGGACTTCTAGCGTGTCTCAGACGTATGGTGATAACCTTTTGTATGCGTATCATTCAATTTACTGCTTAGCATAATCATTTGAAGACTCAAACAGTCATAATGCACTCTGTTGGCGCCAAGTGTACTCAATTTGCGCTTTCATCTTCTCGCGGTGAATTATTTTCCATTTAGAGCAATTAACCAGATATCCCTTGAACTTGCTTACTTGATGGTTTAGCTCGAAAATCACTCTGCTTCGTCACGGAATAAGTCTCCACAATTCGTTGTTAGAATTAACTGATTCAACCAAAGTTTGTACTTTTTCCGTGTTGCTCCGTTACCACCCCATCTACACCTATCTATTGGTTTTTCAGTCCAAAGAAACGGAACCACCTGTTCAGGTCAACCAGGCATTTTTTGTGGACCTCAACACCAAGCAAGGATCACCTAGTCCCACAGAACCAAAAGCTCCGGATCCCCCGGCATTGGAACAGACACCGCCCCCGGGAGAAAAATCCGAAGTTTCCACAGCTCCTGATAAATCGACCACATCCAAAGTGTTTTTCATCGGGTTCGACGAACCAGATCCTCAGGTGCGATTCCCCGGTTCTAATCTCTTACCGAGTTTGTTTTTGTGTGCTTTTGAATCGATGGTATTTAAGTACACGTGTGCTTCTGTACTCGCCGGGGCTACACTCCGTGAAAATTTTCACTATCTGTGTGGCTGTGGTCAGACGTCAGTACGGGGCACGATAATCATCGTTTCTTTTTAACGAACCCCGTCATTTTTCAGATTGTGTTGTGTGCAGGAAGCCTAGATGATGCTATGCACAGTTTACATTTACGGTAATTACCTGGTCTTTATGCGATAGATTATCCAAATCTTCAATCCTAAGCCGCTATTTTCTCCAATCGAACGTTGGAGCAAGTGTTCGTAGTCCCGTAGTAAACCAGACCACGTCTGATACCTGAACACATACATAAGTGACTTCTATTCCAGATCACAGAATAAACCCATGGTCATAATCAAAACACAGGTTGTAGGCGAACATATGTTTTCGGTGATTTCCTCAAAAAATTGATACTCAGATGCACGTTCAACGTGCAATTCTTGTTTGGTAATATCTACTATCGCCAAAAAGATGAAGTCGCAATGGGGTCACCCTTAGGACCAGTCCTTGCAGATATTTTCATGACAAAATTAGAATCCGGTCCTGTGAACACAGTCATCAATAATTTTGATCACTACAGATACGTGGACGATATTTTATGTGTTTCCGATGACAATTTGGACCTCAACGATGTGTTGTTAAACTTCAATATGGCACACTCAGGGATACGCTTTAGAGTTGAGAAAGAAGAAAATAACGAATTGCCATTCTTGGATGTTAACTTAACGAAACGTTTAGATGGGTCCATTCAGCGGAAGGTGCATCGAAAAGCCACATGGAACGGACAGTACACAAACTTCCATAGTTTTGTACCGCTCGCTTACAAACGTAACTTAGTGCGCTGTCTTCTATTCAGAGCAAGATACATCTGCTCAGAAGACACTTTAGAAACAGAATTAGCAGTTGTACGAAAGACACTGTCAGAAAATGGCTACCCGGAAATGTTCGTCAGTCGCAACTGGTCTGAAACAATAAAACAGGCTGTTACAGATTGAGCTGAGAAAAAGACTTTGATCATCAAACTTCCGTTCAAAGGAGATCCAGAAGCTGAAAGGGTTGGTAGAGTCCTGAGTGCCGCACTCAAAACAATGTTCAATGCTGCCAAACTCAGATGCGTGTTCTCAATATCACCCGTCATCCGATGTCAGAACAAGGATAAGTTGTCTATGTTGACCTCGTTAATGCTCATCTAGCAGTTCAAGTGCACCTGTGGTGCCACTTATGTAGGTCGTACGACAAGGCAGCTATCTAAGCGCATCAAGGAACATCAACCTACTTGGCTTAGACACGGAGGAATCGGAGTTATTTCCAGTTCCATTGTGGCGCACCTGGTCGAAATTGGACATAGGGTGGATACTAATTCTGCTTTCACCATCATCTATCGCGTCCCACAACACAACTCCAAGGCTGTTCGAATGTAAACGCTAGCAACAGCCGAGGCAATTATCATCCGCTTGTTAAAGCCAGAATTGTGTGCTCAAAAAAAACACTTGTTCAGGCACTCAAACTTCCCTGGCCCAAAGCGGACAACTTCACGCATGAGCGTTGCGATGACCCAAATCGATTATCAACGATTACGTGACCCTTTCTTATCTGAACATGAGAACGAGTGACAAATGTGTCCCTACCCCACCCTTTTGCTATAATTATCTGACCTTGGCTGTTTGACTCCAACACAGCACTTTCCCGTTATTTTCTCACATAAATGCGATTGTACTGGCTTGATAAGGAAATCACCGAAAACATATGTTCGCCTACAACCTGTGTCTTGATTATGACTTCTTTTCGTTCAATTATTGATCAGACGCGGTGTGATCTCTTTGGTACGGTTTCAATACACCCATCTTTTAAGCGATCATCCGTACTTCAAAGCGCGACCGGGACGTCGTAGATACGTTGTACTCATGAGTTCTGGCATGGGCGAGACGCGAGTCTAGTGCTTTTCGAATGTATGACTGACTGGACGAGCTGAGAATTGTATGTGAAGATAAAGTCTGAAAGACCCGCTATTGTGTCAATAAATGTTGCTGTTTACGTTACTGTGCTCCATGCTCACTGTTTACCATTGCATTATTACCCGTTCGGATATCCAATACGGAATACAAAACCTCAACAATCAGTTATTTTATGTGATTTCGTTCCAATCGCATGCAAACAGACCGTGTCGTTTAATACGGTAGCGTGCTCCTATTTAATCGATATTTACGTTCTGGCGGCCGATCTCAGATTCTGAACTCACTGGGAATATGGCATTGGTGTTGAAAACACGTGATAGACGAGCCTCTCATCCGTTTACTTTCTTTCTTTTTTTACCACATATTGGTAATTCCTCCATAGGATGAGTGAAATTCAGACCAAGAACAGA